AATTTAAAATAAATGGTAATATATAAAAAAATACTAAAAATTAAATTAAAAGCTAAAAATATAAAAATAAAAGATTATTCAAAATGTAAATACAAACTATAATAATATATAAATAATGCAAAAATAACACTGGTTAGGACAAAAACTAAAATATAAATCCTGTCATCATTTACTCACCCTCAAGTTGTTCCAAAGATGTTCTTCTGTTTAATGCAAAAAAAAAAAAGAAAAACTACCAGTTGCTGGTAGCCATTGACTTTCATAGTATTTTGTTCCATACGTTTAAAGTCAATGGCTACCAGCAGCTGCTTGGTTACCAGCATTGTTCAAAAAATATGTATGAATAAAGAAATAAAATAAAAAAACTATGAATAATGAAATATCCCTTAATAGCAAATATAACATTTACGGATTTCTTTATGATGCTACACCTTGTTATGGCAGTGTTTAATGAAAATTATGCTAATTTGTTTCTAATATTCTTTCTAAATTGCAGGATTCTCACAAGTTTGGAGCTGATATCAAGAAGGCTTTGGAGGATCTTCTGGAGCTGTTGTCACCAGAGAAACCAGACCCGTCCAAAGCTGAGCAGAGCCACTCGAAGAAAAGCAAAAAAGACCTGTAGAGGTAGAACAGATCGCCCATGACGGTCAGAAGACATGAGGTTGCATAGAACTAGGAAATAGCGTGTTTGCGTGTGTATTCATTTGAATGCATGTTTGTCATTACATACAAACATGCATCCATACATTCCATGCTTGTTGTACAAATCGATGCCATGAAGCCATGAACAACATGATGTAAAAATGGTGGAAGCTGCTTCGTCTAAAAAAGTATTAGTTTAATAAAATGTATAAAAGAGCATTAAAAGCAAGAGATAGTTTGATAGCGGAAAGCCTTTCATGTTTTCCAGAAGGACCAGTCCATTTAGATTTAATTTGGTCCTCATTTTTTAAATATAATGAAGAATCGAACTGATTAGTGTGCATCACCACCAGGGTGATGAGAGTCTAATGGTTAATGATCTGACCAGTTAGTGTAATGGTTGTAGGTTCATTAAAAGTAAGCTTGACCGAGGATCTCAGTTATGCATCACCTCTGTACCTTCTGATGAAGGCACTTCACTGCTCTTATAATACCATAAATCACATCCAAATAGAAACTCCCCATCTGAACTGGATATTTTGAGGTGTAAGAATAACTTGACTTGTCATTTTACTTGAATCCCAGAGCAGAAGTATATTTAAGATTTCAGTGACTAATGACTCAGAATATTACATGTGACTGCAGTTTTAATGTGATTGTCCAGATATATTGATGTGTTGATCTCACTATTAAGTCTATTAATTTTAACTGTTTTTTTATGTACTTTCTTTTTTACACAAGGTCAAGTTGAGATAAAATAACTATTCACAATTTATTTAACAAGGTTGAATATGTCTAATAGGTCAAAAGAATTACGCCACAACACATTTCTGTTAATATCTCAGGTGTTTCGAATGCACGATTTAACTTCAAAAATAAATCAAGGCCAGTTATTTGCACATAGTTTCTGTTTACTTGTACCCAAAGAGACGTCTCCTTAACAAAGCTAAGTGTACAGTACAAAATCTGATATGATTTTAATTCTAAATGGTGTACTTCGAATTAAATAATATGGTTAACCTTCAATTGAACTGATTAAATTCCATTAGGATGCTTTCAAAGCTAAATGTGGTCATGATTATTATGTATTTAATAATAATTACAAACCATTTATACCAATCTTCTATTTTCAAAAAAGTAGGAAACTTAAGAATGTGATTTAAAGGAAAACTTCAGTCAAAAATGAAGATTTTCTGAGAATTTACAGGCCATCCAAGATGTAGATGAGTTTGTTTCTTCATCGGATTCGGAGAAATTGAGCATTGCATTACTTGCTTGGTTCCCACTGCAGTGAATGGGTGCCGTCAGAATGAGAGTCCAAACAGCTCAATAATCCTGAAGTATTCAACAAGACTGCAAAAGTTGTGTGTTTGTAATGAACAAACTGATCATGTTTTTATCTTCAAACAGTTGCTTCCGGCTAAAATATGAGTCCATAATTTCTCCAGTTAAAAAATTAATTCCATCTGAATCAGGAGAGATATGCACAGATCATTTAGAGTTTACAAGAAAAAAAACTGTTCTAAATAAATATGTTGTTATGGATTATAGACTTGTATTTTGGCCTAAAGGGATGATTTAAAGTTAAAATGCCTTATTGATGGATTTGTTTCTTACAAACATGCAACTTTTCGCTGTACAAGTCGTTAATTAATGGTGGTGTGGATTATTGAGATGTTTTTATCAGCTGTTTGGACTCTCATTCTGACAGCACCCATTCACTGCAGAGCATCTATTGGTGAGTGAGTGATATAATGATAAATTTCTCCAAATCTGATGAAGAAACAAACTCATCTTCATCTTGGTTGGCCTGAGAGTGAATACATTTTTAGCTAATTTTCATTTTTGGGTGAACTATTCCTTTAAATTACTGACAGAATAATTAAAAGAAAACATCAGGTATGATAATATTAATAAATAGACAGATTATAGTCAAGATGCAGGACATATTTCTATAACTATACTACTATAACCACTATATGATTGAACACAATTGTTGCATTAGAACATATAACACCAAAAGCTATTATATTTGTGAAGGACATGAAGATGGTGACTGGTTTTACAGCTAAATGAATAATATACGCTCATCAACATCAAACATGTACAATCACTATACAGTCAGCATTAATGTGGTATTTCACTAGGATGTGTTGTTGCTGAAGGCCCTTTTGCTTCACTTGGCCAGACTGAGAGCAAGGGCTTCTAAACTTCCTTGTAGTTTTTCTGTTTTGTCTTTGCAATCTGTTGGCAGCTCTACTCTTTATTATCTCTGTTACGGCCTCATATTTGGCATTTTAAACAATATAAAGTTGCCTTTCAAGTGCACGAGATCTCGTTTGCACAACTAGGTATGGTCATTGTGGAAATATTGATATATATATATATACTTCAAGAAGGTCTTGTCTTTTTTTCCTGTACTGCCTAACACTGCTTACACTATCTCTCACTTGAGTTTAAACCTTACTGAAGAATTGTATTATTATTATTGTCACTATTCTAATGATTAACTTGAAACGGAAAACAGTAGCAATGCAAGTGTTTGTGTAGTGCTGGTATTAGTCTGGAGCGGCAGTGCTTTACCTCATCTGTCTGATGAATGTTGAATCATCCAGCGCTCAATCTCTCTTTTCTCCCAGGCCAGTACTGTATTCTGTATCTGCCTGACTCTTTCTCTGTACACCGCAGAGCTTTACACTTTCTCTCTTACTCTGGCAATCTGTCATTCCTTGACGTTTTGTATGTAAATGAAAAAGAAGAGACAACAGATAACTTTTTTAAATTAAAATTGTTAAAGCACACAAGTGTTTGTAGTTTTTTTTTTTTTTGGTTGTTTGTTTTATTATAAACGGCATGATAATTTGGGTTTGCTCATCTCAGTGGATCAACATTAAGGTCTAAATGTTGTTTTTGTGTATGTGTATTTCATTTTTACTTTATTTTTTTAATTTTAGAAAAAAAAATGTGTACGTGTGTATATATGTATGTATATAATATATATATAATGTATGTATGTATGTATATATATATATATATATACACATACACACACACACTTATTCTGTTATCTTGGCCAAAGAAATGTAGTCAGACAGGTAGTAAGATTTTTATAATTATCTATATAAAAAAAAAAAAACTATACAGTTTCATAATTTTTTTTATATTCTGCTGTTACTGCTGGATGTTGCTCAAGTTCAGTGTGAATTTGAGAAGCAGGTGGATCATTCTGTCTTCTGTTATGAGACTGTCTGTGGATTGACAATTCAGTAAAGAGCTCCCTCTACTGGAAAGACATTCAATCAAGCCAGTGCATTCACTCAAGAAATCTCCTGAGCCGTCCGAGTGAAACATGGCCAGAGAAAGGTAAATCATGATGTAAATGTTATTTACATCATATGTAATATATATTTCTGGTACAAACATACAGGTGCAGCATGGGCCACACAACAACAACTATCCTAGAAGCTACATATAGATGTGCTGGAAGTGAAAACCAATATTATTTACAAGTTTAAAAAAACGCAAGATGATCTTATATTTTATTTGGACAATATTTATTATATCCTACACGATTTCATTTAATAGTGAGCATAAAAGATTTCATATCCTATTTTAATATAACTGCTATGTCTTGATTATACCAAAATTGCGGTGTAAATGCTTATTTGCGTTAAATAAGAGCGCGTGAATCTACCCAGTGGTTTTTTCCGGGTGAGGTGTTCTGAATAATTCTGATTGTGACGTTCAAAAGTTTCCCGCCAACGAGACAATCAACTTACTCTCCTTATGTGAATGCAAGTTTCTTTTATATTGAATATTCACCAATATATACTTTTAAAAGGGGTTTTATCTAAAGTGGTCTAGCAGTTATGCGGTAATAACCATCTTGTTATTCTCATTCGCTTATCTCGCGCGTTATCTTACAAATGTGACCGGTGAAAGTAAAGAATAAACGCAAGAAACTTCACCTTTGGGTTTTAATTTGACTGGACAAAAGTGATAAAGGTGACGTTCTTTCTTTCTTTATTTTTGTGGATAGTCTTCTGAAATACCTGAAAGATTGTAATGGAGAAATGCTCCATGGAGGGACTGCTTTTATAGTTACCCAGCTAGCTTAAAGTAACCAGAAACTTAACTTGTTGTGTAACTAAAAGCTTTTCTTTTTCTTACATTTTAATTTTCATCTGTTTTGTCTGAATTGAAGAGATTTTTAATAAAGTTGATTTATGTCTAATTTAAAATATGTGAGGACATGTTCACGAATACATTAATTTTGCCAGATTATTTCATATTGTCATAGGCTTACAGTGATTTTCCATTTCAGAGGACCAGAAATATTACAAATGGCTGACGAAATGTCAGAAACTAGGCAAGTTAAAAATGATCTGTCACTAATTATTTCACTGTACATTAACACTATCAACGCTGGAATAATGCAGTTTATTTTCTCTTCCTCAGAGTTGGCTCGTTTCCCCATCTGACATTATATGTTGTGGTCCTGGAGATGATGTTGTTCTGTCGTGTCATCTTGAGCCAGCTATCAGTGCTGCTTCAATGGAGATCAAGTGGTGGAATAAGTCTGATCTGGTCTGTCATTATAAGGATAGACAGATGACAGTGAGCAGAGACTATGAGGGTCGAGTGAGTCTCCCATTGCAGGAGCTACACAATGGAAATGTGTCTTTGACTCTCAGAGATGTCAGAAGGTCACAGAGGGGCATTTATATTTGTGAGGTCATCCATGGATGTCAAACTATAAAGGAATATATTTTTCTCTATATCAACTGTAAGTATTCTGCAGGGTTGTTTTTCTTACACTACTAGTTATATCACAGTTAATTTTGTTTCACTATCATTCATTAGCATGCATGGTTAAAGCAGCTAAATGCCTCTGTCCAGCTCAAGACTTCAGACTTGTGGTTCCTACTGGCCCTGTGCGCACTGACTCTGGATCAGATATCATCCTACCTGTTCACCTCTCACCTGAAACCAATGCTGTGTCTATGGAAATCAGATGGTTTAAAGGAACAGAGCTCATTTATCAGTATAAGAACGGGCAGGAGATGAGAAATAATGACTATAAGAACCGAGTGAGTGTGTCCATCCAGGAGCTGAGGAGAGGAAATCTTGCTCCGACTTTGAGAAATGTTCAGCAATCTGATTCAGGAGACTACACATGCAAACTTTTTCATGATCGATGTCAGAAGACAGGAGTAATTCACTTGCAAGTGAGAAGTACGCTGCAGCTTCTCTGGCTAATTTATGAAATTTATTTGGTGTAAAACACTTCAGTAGCCTACAGTACTGTTACAACATATTGCAATATCTTTCATGTTGTAATACCCATTTCTCCGAAATACTTGATATTGACTGGTGGGCTGTGGCATAGAGTGATCAAATATTTAATTTGCTAAACCATATATTTGACTGCTGTCTGTATGGCATCATACCAGTACTTTCCTGTCTCTGGAGTTTCTCTTTTAATTTTCGTTCAAATACAGCTGCTATTAAATTGTAATGAACTCATCTTGATATTTGGTTCATGTCAGATCTTCAAAAGCGTAAGCATACACGTAAAAGTAAGCATCTGCCTGATGAACTGACATTATTACAGACTGATGAAACACCATCTCAAAAAACACTGCATCATGGGGCAAATATGCAGAGAAGAGTAAATGTAAGTCTGGTATATTTAAACTTACATATTTTGAAAATACTGTATTCTAATCACTTCTGGCATATTTTATGCCGACAGGGTGGACATGTTAAACTTTGGCAAAGCAAGTAAGCAAACTCAGACGAAGAAAATTTGTCAATTGAAAAGTCACCAACTTATTCACCTCAGCTGTTGAAATTCCCGCCACTGAAAAGACAAAAAAATCTGTTGTCCTGATGTCACTAAAGGGGATGGCCTTTTCTTAAAGGGGCGGATTCCCCAATACCACAGGGTGGACAACCATTCAAGGGATATGGACACACTCTTCTCTTTAATTAAATAAAAATATTGTTTTTATTACCAAATGATCAATACACTCAAATTGAGTAATCTCTTATTTAACAAAATATTAACAGGAGAACAAAATTTTTGTTCCGATTGAATGTAACGTGACATTTAATTTCATAATGTTGTTAGAACATTTAATCCATAATTTTAAATGTTTTTTTAACTCAAGGTCAAATTATGTTTTAAATTAAAACATTAACTATATATACCTATTCAATGTACACAATGTATTGAAAGATTGAGAATGTTTAATGAATCACAACACATTTCTGTTAATATCTCAGGGCCCTTTTAAAGGGATAATTCAACCAACAAAAAAAAAAAGAATTTAACCTCATGTTGTTCCAAACCTGTATGAGTTTGAACACAATAAGAGATTTTGAAGAATGTTGGTAATGGAACATTCTTATGGAAACAAAATACCATGGAAGTCAATGGCAACTCTTTGTTTGTGTTTGCTCATCTCAGTGGATTAACAAGAAGACCAAATGTGCTCTCAGGGTTGAAAGCATTAATTTTATCATCTGTTTTCAAGTTTGATCTTGACCCAAGATTGTGTACCCTTGATAAAGCTAATTTAGGTAGCACTTTATTGTAACTTTTAATTAAAAGGTATTACAAACATAAACATATTTATAGAATGCTATATATATTTGTAGAATTTATAGAAACTAGTGTGTATCATTTTTCACATTTTCAAACATGATCAAAATTGAATGCTTGTTAATAATGTTTGATACAGTTATTGCGGTGTATTAGTGTTTGTTTCATTAAATCTCCCATTAAGACAAATGTTTTCAAAACTGAAATGTATTTTGTAATTCATCAAATGCATATGGCTAATAAAAAAATGTGCGAGTCCTTCAGTCTTTTTCCCGTGTGAATACTGCATACATGTCACTGCTCTGGTTGTGCACTGGAGTGAATCCCGATTCTTCAGCGATCTCCTTCACTCTGTCAGCAAAACCTGACACTTGCTCTTTTGAAAGGTCCAGCAGGTATCTGAACAAGAAAAACAGAAATCATCAGCACAAATGTAAGTCATTAGTGGCAATGTTTGTATTTTTGTCTGTGTGTGATGATGGACTCACTTTGCTAACTCTATTGCCAGAGCAGCATCAGGCGCCGTGATCTCTCAGAGAAGAATCCAGCTGATGAACCATACTGAGAAAACACAGATTGTGCTATCAGCAGGTATTTTATGTTGTTCACTTGACACACAAACTCAAATCCTCTGTTTATGAATGAGCTTCACCTGGCTGAACAGAAGATGGTGTTGAACAAATTCCTGTATTTGTTTTTGAGAGGAAGTTTGCTGAGCGAGTCTGGAGACAGAAATGTCACTTTCACTCCACTCACATTCATCAAATCTGCAAAAACACAAAGAAACAGAGAGTAGATGTATGGGAAACTGTATCTTAAAACTATTTTGCAGCTTTTAATTGCTTGCAGAATTTCAGTGTCAATAAAAGTACATAACTAATAACATATGTTATAACAAAACATAACTAATGTTTTGGCATAATATGATGTTACCAAGCTCTTGTGTCTGTTGTTCTGGATGTTGCTCAGGTTCAGTGTGAGTTTGAGAAGCAGGTGGATTATTCTGTATCTTCTCTCCTGTTATGATACTGTGTGATACTGTGTGGATTGACAACAGGAACTTGAAGGATTTGGATCATCTTCATTTAGTAAAGAGCTCCCTCTAGTGGCAAGACATTCAAACAACGCCAGGATGTTCACTTCTGAAATCTCCTGAGCTGTCTGAGATAGAAAGATGGACAGAGAAAGGTAACTAATCATTTAAAAGCTATTGCAATGCATTATATAACATATACAACACATTAAAAGCTATAAATATGAGTTAGAAATGTGATCTTAAACGATGTAGGTTTTGGTTTGAATTTAGAGGTTAATTAACTAATTTATTTCACCTTCACATGTTGATTGTTCTGTTTCTTCAGCAGGTCTTTGTTTTCTGTCTCTGTGCCGAAGGACAGATACGGACTGGAGACGATGTCACCCCAAAAAAATCCTCTAACAGCAACCCGATCTCCTCTCTGGTACACACACACACACACACACACACACACACAGTTTTCCGCGGGAAAACCGCGGACTTGGCAACAGTGGAAGAGGATAGCTTTCGTTTAACACATCAAGAACCAGGTTGATCGGGTACTCGGTACCACCGGTACTTAAGAAAACCTGGTACCGTAACGTTTTCATTTTTTTAGTACCGACTTGGTACCGAAATACCGGGTCTTTTGACAACACTAGACCGCACAACACCAACTATTATAATAAACAGTCAAAATACTCACGATTGAACACTCGTGTGGAGAGCAGACTCTGATTGGCTGTTTGGTAGAGCCCCTCCCTCATCTCAAACGCCATACCGCTTTCCTTCCATGTCACATACTGATGTTTGCTAATGACACCACACTGAGCGAGAGAAAGCACAGGATTTTGTAGAATAGAAATGAAAAAGGGTTTTTATCATTAACTAATTTGTTTAATTAAAAAAAAAAAAAGTTTAAAAAACAAACTGAAAGCTGAATTTAACTGTTAACTAACATAGAATAAATATTTAATATTTAAATAATATTTATTTTTAACTCGAAGTGCTAAAATAACAAACTATATGGACATATTTCAATTTATAACTAATAAAAATGACAAAAACACAACAAAATTAAAACTTTAAAAATGTAAGTGAAAACATAAAATATAAAAGTGAAAGCTAATTCAAAATAATAACCATAATAGTATATTAAAGGGGTGGTTGATTGCGATTTCACTTTTTTAACGTTAGTTAGTGTGTAATGTTGCTGTTTGAGCATAAACAATATCTGCAAAGTTGCGAAGCTGAAAGTTCAATGCAAACGGAGATATCGTCTTTTAAAATTCTGGCAGTTTAATGCCTACAAAAACGGCTGGTAGAGACTACAACGAGTTACTTCCCGGGTTCGTGACATCACAAACCCAGATAAACCCCACCCTCGGGAAAAGGCAGCAAAGGGGGCGATGCCATGCTGCGTTGCTTTAGAGAAGAGGAAGAGAAAACTAGAGGTGCACGTAAAAATCTATTCATATATGAATCGCGATTCTGTCTTTTAACGATTCTAATGGATTCACAAGTTTCAAAATCAATGTTCTAAAGCAGCGGTTCTTAATACTGTTCCTCGTGTCACCTGCTCGGCACACGCTCTGCATCTCTCTCTCTCTTTCTTTCTCTCTCTCATTCAGATCATCAGCTCAGCTCTGTTCCATTTATACACTTATTTTCACACAGCTAAGAGAAGCGTTATACATACGCGCGTGCAGTTGCCGTACTGTATTAAAGCTTTAATCAGGATAAAACCGTATATTAAAAGCTAACATAAGCAGTAGCATTTACAAATAACAGCATATCTAAAAGTATGAGACAACAACAAACAAAAAACATAGGCCTACCATTAAAAGCCGTGCTTGCACAGGTTCTGCACGATCCTCTTCACTAATATCCTCTGCTTGTCAATCGGGCTCAAACTGATAAGCGATATTAACGACGGCGTTGTTTACAATACAACCGGAGCACATGCCGCTGAGGTGAGGGGCGGGATGTTTAGACAAGCACTAGAGGCGGTTTAGCCAATCACAACACACTGGGCTAGCTAACCAATCAAAGCCCATCGCCTATTTCTGAGGGCAGGGCTTCATAAAAACAGGAAAAGATCAGCCCGTTTATCAGAGAAGGGACAGAGCGGTGTGGAATAAAGGTAAATTATGTGAAAAAGAATGCGGTTTTTTTTTTTTAAACTAAGCATTAACATGTTAGACTGCACCCCATAAACACAATCAAGCCTAGAAAAAAAACAGTGAACCACCCCTTTAAAATAACATGCATGGAAATATAGAATGAGCATCTGCTATTATTAGCTAATATGTAAATTAGGTGTTAATTCAAAATTCTAAAGTCTATGAGCTGAAATAAGTCTATTTGCTAAATGCATGTGTAACACACAGTAAAGTAAGTTTCATTGCACTGCTCTGATCGTCTGTCAGGAGTAAAGATGCATAATAATGTCAGATGTGGTACATACGCCGCTCTGGTGCAGTTTCATTGTGAGATCCCAGTCGAAACAGCCATGTCGAGAGTCGTAGCGAGTCCCCAGGTGCTGCTGAACACGGGCGTCCCAGACCTTACGAACACTCGCTGGTACTGACGGCGGCCGTTCCCACTGTTTAAAGATCCGGACCAACTCATCTCTCTCCTTAAACTATGATAAAACAGAGGAGTGGATACTACTGAGCTGAGTTTGATTATGACATGCCGTATAAATGCAAATATATCAGATTAATGTATGCTGGACCTTCAGAAGACTTGTATCAAGGCAAGGATGGCTGTGCGAGTCAGAGGACAGAGTGTTTGTGATGGACAGAGAGATGAGCCGCAGCGTGTCTTAAAGTCTCTTCCGTCTCTTTGCGAATCTCAGAGTTTCCGAACACCTCCAGAAACACCTCTGTCTTTTCTGGGAAAATACAACACAAATAAAACCCAAATCAATGTTACCCGAGTATTCAAACATGAATGCAATTTGTGACACTTATAGTGTATACAAAAACTAAAACAGAAAGTTTTTGTATTTGCTGGAGATTTTTTTATTGCATTATTTCCTATATTTCCCTGTGAAACAATAGGAAAGGTCTAAACGTCCAAATAAAATATTTATTATTATTTGTAATATGCCATGTGTGTGTGTGTATATATATATATATATATATATATATATATATATATATACAGTGGTGTGAAAAAGTGTTGGCCCCCCTCCTGTTTTTTACTTTTTTTGCATATTTGTCACACTTAAAAGATTCAGATCATCAAACAAATTCTTGCATTATCTTTGTGTAATATTAAAATTTGTTTGATGATCTGAATCTTTTAAGTGTGACAAATATGCAAAAAAATAAGAAATCAGGAAGGGGGCCAACACTTTTTCACACCACTGTATACTGTATATATATATATATATATATATATAATTTTTTTTTTGTTCTTTTTGGGAATTATGGGATATAATTTTAAAATATGTCATATATGAAGTACATACTGTGTAGACTCATGTTCTCAGGGGTCAGGAGTGATAAATAAAGTAGCAATAGCTGTCTGGCAACCACCTCCATGCTGTTCTCAATCACCCAAACCTGCAACAAGCCACACCTCTCATTATTAACACAGTATGTTCAACACAGCTGATTTAGAACACTGTAATATGTGATTAAACTCAATTCACTCAATTCTGTATGTAAAAGAATTACATGTAACGTGTGAGCGTCCGTCAGTCCTGTGATGGTCTTCAGGATGTGTCTGGGATCTGCACTGCCCACTAGCAAAATATTCAGTTCTCCATGTGTATGGCAAGCCGTTTTAACATTTAATCTATAAACCGTACAATAAGTACTAGTATCTAATGAATAAGTACTAGTAACTTTACAAAAGACACTAGTACCTAAAGAATAAGCACTAGTACCTAAAGAATAAGCACTAGTACCTAAAGAATAAGCACTAGTACCTAAAGAAT